TATGGAATTTTTTTGTTTTTGTTTTTTTTAACAGAGTGGAAGATAAGATGAGGAACTAATCTTTAGGGGCTGGCCCCGTGGCGTAGCAGTTAAGTGCGCGTGCTCCGCTGCTGGCGGCCCGGGTTCGGCTCCCGGGCGCCCACCGGTGCACCGCTTGTCAGGCCATGCTGTGGCAGCATCCCACATAAAGTGGAGGAAGATGGGCACGGATGTTAGCTCAGGGCTGATCTTCCTCACAAAAAAAAAAAAGAAAAAAAGGAACTAATCTTTATAGCATTCGATTTAAAAAAAATCAATTTCTAACTATATCATTTTGGGAATTTAGGCCAGGACAGGCCTGCCAATTAAGTTATTTTTATATTTCCAAGGCCTTAAGTGTAACAGTCAGCTTGTATAATGCAGACATTGTGAATATTATCTAGGGAACTGTTTATGGCTATATATATATTTTTTTTGCTGAGGAAGACTGGCCCTGAGTTAACATCTGTGCCCATCTTCCTCCACTTTATACGGGACGCCGCTACAGCATGGCCTGACAAGCGGTGCATCGGGTGCGCGCCCGGGATCCGAACCCCGGCCGCCAGCAATGGAGTGCACGCACTTAACCACTACGCCACAGGGCCGGCCCTGTTTATGGCTATTTTAAACATTACTCAGGAGTTATTTACAATCCCTGTTCGCACCCTCTGAATCTACTGAATGTCCTAGATTTTTTTTTTTTTTTTGGCTTTCATTGGCTTAGCTACCAAAGTAACTTATGCAGTTTTGGGAAGCTACCCTCCATGCACTGATCCAAGGCCCAGGATGTGAGTGCTTCTGGGAGGCACTGGATTACAAGGGGAAAGCCTTGGCGTGGTTTTTCTGAAGACCTACAATCTTAACTGACCCTTAACTGCTACTGCCTTGAAACACATTTGCTTCTTTTCTACATACATTACATTACTTTTTATCTCCACTGGGTCTGTAATACTTTGTGCTTTAATTTTTTAAGGGTCAATCCTGTGAATTATAATGATAGAAGCCACCTGTTTATAGGTGGCTTGATTGAAACTTTGTGTAATTGAATTTTATTAAAAACTGAATTCATGGGATTTTAAGTGAGATGCCATACTTAGAGAACTTAGCAAAGTTGCTTCACACATCGTAAGCACTCTGTAAACTTTAGTTGTCATAATTGTTAGAATTCCCTCACTTAACCTGGTGAAGTGGCTAGAAGAGCCCTCCTGGCAGAGGGACTAGAACGTACTAAAGTCCTGAGGGACCCTCTAGGTCCCCAGACAATCTAGTGAGGGAAAGTTAGCTCCAGGCAGGGGCTGCAAAACTGGTGGGGCCAGGCTTCCTTGCTTTGGGAAGAAGTTTGGGCTTCACCATAAGAGTAATTGGGAGCCATAAAGGGTCTTAAGCTGAGGACCAATCAGATTTGTACTGTTATGTTAAAAAACTATTCCAGCTGCCTCATGGAGAAAGGATACAGGGGGGTTCCTCATAAGATTTGGCCATAGAGTAGGTAACCAGCCTTGGGCATGTTACATAAATTCTGTGTGTCTCATTTTCTTCATCTATAACACAGATTCAGTAATAGCACTTACCCTTTAGGCTTTGGGGATTCAGTGAATTGCTATTTGTAAAGCACTTAGATCAGCTCCCAGTATATAAGCGCTTTAACAAGCCTGGTGGCAGAAAGTTAAGCCCCTCTAGTACTAGCCTCCCTCCATCTGGCATCAGCCTGACCTCCTCCATGAAAAACTGCCCCTGACTCTGAGCCCTTGGATGTCTAGTTTCCAAACCAAGCCCGGCCTCCTCCTTCCCCCTGCCTGGTCTAGTGTCGGCGCTTACACATGGATGTGGCATATGGCTGGCCAGGCTTGGCTGGGCTTTCCTTCACCAGAACACCTGCATTGTACCTCACACAGAGTGTCAGGTCCCACTCTGCTTGCTGAGAGCACCACGTATGCTCTTGGTTGTGGTGAACTAAGTAGAATCTGCCAGTAAACACCGCCCCCAAGGGATGGTACATTGGCTGTGATTTACTTCCCCTGGCTTTGCCAACCTGACCACGACTGCTTGCTCTCACCCAGATTGCGCTTGGTGTTTGAAAATAACTGGGAGGTGAACTCACCTGGGCCTGCTGTCAGCCCCTTTGGCTTTCTATATTTATAAAGACAGCTTTGAACTGAAAGGAAAAAACGTCAAATGATATACAAGTGGCTTCTATCCAGCCTTTTCTTCACTCTAGTAAGAAGCCTTTTGATTGTCGTATACCTTGCAAAGAGTTCATTTTAACTCGGTAAATTTCCTGTCCCCTCCCCCCCAAAAGATTCATTTTTGTAAATCATGTTATACATGTTGCTGGGATTTTTTTAAATCATGAATGTCTTCTACTTAGTGTTTCAAAGTTACTTTGTTAACTTGCTATGAACTTTTCTAATTTGAAACAGTAGTTGGGATGTCATGTAGGGACAGCCGGTTTCAACCTATATGACTTAGTAGAGTTCTGTTTTGAGGATACTGAGGCATGTTTGAGCTCACAGAGAAAAAACACCATGGTCTACACAAAAGGGTGCACACCAGATCTGGTTAGAATCTTCCCTGGTAGGGAGGGACTGCTATAGAGTTGTGGTGGGAAGAGGAGAGATGGCGCAGAAGGTTTCCTTGGTGTTTCTAATGCTTTATCAAGTTCGATGGTGGGTAAAATTTGTCATTTTATTTTATATATTTTTGAACATGTAAACTAGTTTATGATAAAATTGAAACGAGTGCCATGATGGATTAGTAAATATCTACTCTGGGCGTTACTGGTAGTATGTGTTTGCTGTCCTGGTCTGGTAGGGCCTGCCCTTTACTGAGGTGATACAGCCTCTTCCCTAGGTTAGACTGTCCTCCCAGAGTATTTGTATGTGAGCTCACATGCACATTTATATGCACATAGACATGTTCATTTTATCTCTAATGTGTATTCACAAAGTGCAGTGTAGGACTTTTTAAAAAAATGTAAAATGACTATTTCTCTGTGAATATACTAAAAACCACTGAGTTTTTAGTGAATTTTATGTTATATAAATTATATCTCAATAAAGCTGTTGTTAAAAAATAAAATATTTCCAAATACGATACTTTTTCAAAAAGTAAATATTTTTTCCTGATTATAAAAGTAGTACATACACATATAGGAAACTGGAAAATGTACTAAAGCAGAAAGAAGAAAAAATATATATACTTATAATAGCACCACCCTACACACACACAATTGATGATATTTTCTTCTATTATTTTTTCATTTCCATGTATGGATTATTTTTATGTTGATGAGATTGTTTCTGTGTATAAAATTTTGCATCTTCCTTTCTTCATTTAACATTTTAATATAACCATTTAAAATGCTATCATAAATTCTTTTTTTTTTCACATGTATGTTTCTTTTTTTTTTTTAAAGATTTTATTTATTTTATTTTTTCCCCCCAAAGCCCCAGTGGATAGTTGTATGTCGTAGCTGCACATCCTTCTAGTTGCTGTATGTGGGACTCGGCCTCAGGATGAACGGAGAAGTGGTGCCTCGATGCACACCCGGGATCCGAACCCGGGCCACCAGCATCGCAGTGTGCGCACTTAACCACCAAGCCACAGGGCCGGCCCTCATAAATTCTTTATAAACATTTTAATGTTGTACAATGAGCCACTGTATGAGGGTATTATAAATTAATCATTCCCTGCTGTTAAGACATTTTTCACTATGAGAAATAACACTGTAGTGAACATCTTTGAGTGTAATTCCCATCGTCATATTTGGATTTATTTCCTTAAATGTATGCCAGATAGATTAAAAGTTCTGAATGCTTTTAAAACCTTTGCTATATGTTCTCAAATTGCTTTCTATAAGGCAGGCCTTTATCCACCCTATAAGGCGTCTTTGTTCAGGTTACAAACCTCTGGGTAGATGTAGCCCTGGCAGTCCAAGCTTGGGGGTGGGTTATGGGCTGTGTTACACCCACTCACACTCTCTCTTGGTGCCTTTGTGCAGGTCACAACAGCATTGATGTACACATCCCCGTTTATATTCTTTCAGTAGTTCACACAGAGTACCTGTTTCAGAGAACCCGGATTAGCATTAGGTATTCACCTGTCTGTAAAAATCTTTAATTCACGAAATGAAAAATGGTATGTTGATGTTTAAATCTACCCTTTTTGTTTATGAGGATGAACAGTTATCCATGCATTTCTTGAGAAAATATGTATTTTCTCTTACAAATTATCTGTTCATACTCATTTTTTATGTTCTTAGTGTTTGTCATGTGATATTTTGCACACTTATTTGATTACATATGATCTGTATTATTTGTTGTTAATATTATTCCTAGTTCGTGCATATATTATTTTCTGAAAAACACAAGGTTTTATTTTTATTTAGAAGAACTAATGATTTGTTTCCTTGATTTTCAGTTTACAAAGTTCTTCCCCATTCAGACACATGAAAAGTACTTATATTTTCTTCTTGTTTATTATTTCATTTCATTTTTTACATTACTCTCTTTAACTTACATTAAATTCAAGTATATTTTGATGAATCACATAAGGTGAGAATCTAATCTTTTTTCAAATAGTTTTCCCAGCACCACTTATTGCATAATATTTCCTTTCTCTAGTGATTTGTGGTGCATTCTTTGTCATGTATTAAATTGTTGTATCTACTCAGATAAAATATTTTGCTGGTTTAAAAATGATAAAGATCACATTCTTAATATGGTTAAAGCACTGTTCATTCGTTATGTATTTGTGTTTCACTGTTAACATTTATTTAAATGGAATTATTTTTAATGTAATAATTTTAATGCCAACTTATTTCTTCTTTATATCTTGAATCAAAGTGAACTGGGTACTTGGATAAAGTAAGATTATTTGTTTCATAAAGACCACCCCATTTACAAATGACCCAGATTCTAGGCATTATATGTAATAGGCACTTGCATTCACTTTTAAGAACTTTTTCTCTTTGTGTTTTTTAGGGGTTGTTATCTCATATACTTTCGGCATTCAGATTTGATATGAAAGAAGTTGGTCTTTTTACTCAAGGTCTTGGGTATGCACCTGCAGATTACTATCCTGGTTTGCTTAAAAATGTGAGTATTTTTAATTTATTAGTATTGAAATTTTCATTACTTAATGTACCATCAGCAAAAAGAGTAAATGGAAATATTTCACTCCTCCAGGAGAGATGTTTAACTTTTCTATGTTTATCTCTTCTTACCTTGGGCGGACTTATGGCCATGTAAGGAAGAAATGTGAGATGAGAGATTACGAGAAAGAAGAAGGAAACCAGGAGAGGTTATTCTAAATCAACCAACCTCTCTGTCTCTTAACAGATCTCATTTATTCTCTCAAAGATTTTTGGGAGAAGAGATTTCCTTAACCAATGTAAACACAGCCTTTTACTGTTGGAGAAATTTTGTATTTAAAATAACCTGATAGGAATTTTATGTTGAAGTAAAAAAATTCAATAAATAACAACCTTGTAAATAGTATTATATATTTATATCTTAGTGTTAAACCTGTGTTTACTTGTGCCTTAAATTTTAGCCAAATTCAAGAAATTTTAATTTATGATCTTAACATGGCTCTTCTAAGAAACGTTATGAGATTTTTAATGTTTGTTAACTATTCTTGTCTTTTGGAAGCTTTATGTATGAATGGCATTTTTAAAAATAAAGAACTAAATTAAGAAAGAAAAAATAATCTAGCTCTAATGTGGTTTTATTTTTAATGGGTTTGGTTTTAATTCTTAGAAAATTAATTATCTATTGTTCATTTGCTTAAATAGGAATATGGAATAACAGACATTAAACATAAAATCCAACTTATTAGTAAATGTAACTTGGCTGCTTTGTTTTCATTTAGACAATGTGAAACAAGGAGAAGACAGGTGGGGGCGGGTTGGGAATCTCAACGGAAATATCACACCAAGAGAAACAAAACTGATGTAATCCTGTTTGCAGTGTGAGTTAACCTGCAACTGATTTTGTTTTACAGATGGTTTTATCGTTAGTGTCTGAACTCAGAGAGAATCATCTTAATGGATTTAACACTCAAAGGCGGTATGTTAAACTAAACATCCCTCTTCTCAAGTTTCAAAATATATCAGCTCAGTTATGAGAGAAAAATTTTATAATTTTCAAGAAATGCATATTCACAGTTATAGTTATGTTCTATGTGGAGAGGTTATTTTAATGGAATACATGGCAAATTGGTGAGTTTTATCAAACTTTCTCTTTTACTCACTATTCTCTCAACTCTCATAGGGCAGTAAATCATGTAATGTCTCTTGAGCATCCATTGAGTAAAAAGCCCTGCATATACAGTAGGGAACACAGAAGAAAGAAGTGCTCACCTCATTGTGTGTGCGCATCAGTCACAGAATCAGAATATTTACAAGGCAACAGATATTTGATGTGCACATTGACCTATTTTAAGAAACATAATATTCCAAAATCTAGACGAAACAAATTAAATAGATTCAGACAAATTAAAAGGCAATTAATCAAATTTCAAAATGTTTCTTCAGTATGTGAAAGAGTTCAAATTGTTTTCATTGGTGAGCATTTCATTTTTAACAAAGCATTAACTAAGAGAATCTGGGGATTGAGGCACCTTGTGCTTTTATTTGTAAAGCTATTGCCAATTAAAGCTCTATCAGAAATGGTCTTTGCCCTCAGCCTTTAGGAATCCTTTGCATCTAACCCTTAAAGTAAACTATAAAACTCTTAAATGAAAACACTGGAGAAGATCTTCATGACATTGGATTTGGCAGTGATTATTTGGATATGACACCAATCGCACAAGCAACAAAGAAAAAGTAGATAAATTGGACTTCGTTAAAATTAAAAACTTTTACAAACCATAGGATACTCTCAGGAAAGTGAAAAGACAACCTGTTGAATGAGTAAAAACATTTGGAAATCATATATCTGATAAGGGTTTAATATCCAAAATATATAAAGAACTCCTAAAACTCAACAACAAAAAACTCAATTCAGAAATGGGCAAGAGAATTGACTACACATTTCTCTAAAGAAGTGATATAACTGGCCAATAAGTACATGAAAACATGCTCAACATCACTAATTATTAGGGAAATGCAAATCAAAACCACAGTGGGATACCACATCACACCTACTAGGATGGCTATAATTTAAAAAACAAACAAACAAAAATGGAAAATAAGAAATGTTGACGAGGATTTGGAGAAAGTAGAAACTTTGTGCGTTGTTGGTGAGAATATAAAATGATGCAGCCAGTGTGGAAAACTGTTTGGCAGTTCCTCAAAAAGTTAAACACAGAATTACCATAAGACCCAGCAATTCCACTCCTAGGTGTATATTCAAAAAAACTGAAAGCAGGGACTTGAACAGATAATCTGTACACCAATGTTCCTAGCAGCATTATTCACAATAGCCAAAAGGTAGAAAACAATCCAAGTGCCCATCAAGCAGATGAGTGGATAAACAAAATGTGGTATGTAAATACAATAGAATACCATTCAGCCATAAAAAGGAATAAAATTTTTATATATGCAAGAACATGCATGGACCTTGAAAACATTATGCTTAGTGAAATAAGTCAGCCAGAGAAGGACAAATGTTGTATGATTCCACTTATACGAGGTACCTAAAATAGGCAAATTCATAGAGACAGAAAGCAGAATAGGGGTTATCAGGGACTGGTGGGAATGGAGTTGTTGTTTAATGGGTACATAGTTTGTGTTGGGGATGATGAAAGTTTGGGGTATAGATTGTGGTGATGGGCACACAGCATGTGAATGTATTTAATGCTACTGAATGATTACCACATACAAATGGTTAAAATGATAACTATTATATATGTTTTACCACAATAAAAAAAATAAAACAAGAAAAATACCAATGTGATACCACTGTACACTCTCCCTCAAATGGCTAAAATTTGAAGTACTTACATTACCTTGTATTGGAGAGGATATGGAACTACTGGCTCTTTCATCCACTGTGTGCTAGAATGTGACATGGTATAACCACTTTGGTAAACAGTGTGGCAGTTTATTGGAAAGTTAAACGTACTCTCATTATATGACCCACCATTTCCACTCTTTTGAGTATTTACTCTTGACAAATGAAAACATGTGTATTCACAAATATTCTATACAAATATTCATAGCTGCTTTATTTGTAATAGTTCAAAACCAGAAATAATCCAAAGGACATGAACAAGTGAATGGATGAACAAATAAAAAGTTATGTTACCACCATTTAAAAAATGAAAGGACAAGTCATAGGCTGTGAGAAAATATTTTCAAATCATACATCTGATAAAAGGCTCACATCCAGAATATATAAAGAACTCAGTAATTAGAAGACAAATAACCCAGTTTAAAAAATAGGCAAACGATTGGAATACATATCACCAAAAAATATATACAAGTGGCTTATAAGCACACAAGTACTTGTATACAAATGTTCATAGCAGCAGTATTCGTAATAGACAAAAAGTGGAAGCAACCCAAGTATCTGTCAACTGATGAATGGATAAACAAAATATGGTATGTTGTACAGTAGAATACTATTCCTCAGTAAAAAAGGAACAATCTACTGATTCATGCTGCAACATGCACGAACCTCAGAAACATTATGCTTAGTGAAAGAAGCCAGCCACAAAAGACCACATATTGTATGATTCCATTTTTTTTTTTTTGGTGAGGAAGATTAGCCCTGAGCTAACATCTGTTGCTGATCCTCCTCGTTTTGCTGAGGGAGATTGGCCCTGGGTTAACATGTGTGCCCACCTTCCTCTACCCTACATGACGGACGCTTGCCACAGCATGGCTTGATAAGCGGTGTGCAGTTCCATGCCCAGGATCCGAACCTGCGAGCCCCAGGCCACCGAAGCGGAGCACATGAACTTAAACGCTATGCTACCAGGCTGGCCCCTGTATGATTCCATTTTTATAAAATGTCTAGAATAGGCAAATCTATAGAGACAGAAAGTAAATTAGTTGTTGCCTGGGGCTAGAGGTGGGAACAGGGATTTCCTGCAATTGAGCACAGAAGATCTTGAGATGATGGAAATGTCCTAAAAGTGGATAATGATGGTTGTTCAACTCAGTAATTTATTAAAAATCTTTGAATTGTACATTTCAAATAGCTGCATTTGTGATATATAAAATATACCTAAAAAGTAATAAGAATCCGTAGAGTGCATGGAAAGCATTTACAGTCGTTTATTTACACATCAGGTAAAGACTTCGATTTAGACTTGAGGTTAATGTTGAATAATAGATCTTTTTTTTTTTTTTTTGAGGAGGTTTGGCTCTGAGCTAACATCTGTTGCCAATCTTCCTTTTTCTCCCCAAAGCCCCAGTACATAGTTGTATATCCTAGTTGTAGGTCCTTCTGGTTCTTCTACGTGGGACGCTGCCTCAGCATGGCTTGATGAGCGGTGAGTAGGTCCGTGCCCAGGATCCGAACCGGCGAATCCCAGACCGCTGAAGCGGAACACACGAACCTAACCACTGTGCCACCGGGCCGGCCCCTGTAATGGATCTTTTGAATAATAGAATTAAAAATTTATTAAAGGGGACTTAAAATATCAATAGGATGTATTGTGTATGTATGGTCTATGCCAAACTCCCAAAATGTCAAGTTGATATGTTTTTAAAACTCAGCTGAGAATAAACAAAAACAAACTAAAAACAAACAAAAAATACAAACAAAATATTAACAGATGGAAAAGACGAGCCACAGACTTAGAAGATATTTGCAGCCTATAAAACAGACAAAGGATTAGTATGCAAAACATAGAAATGCCTACTACAAATCAATTTTAAAGAGGCAAACATTCCAGTATGGAAATAGACAAGAAATACAAGCAGATCATTACCAAAAGAGGAAAATTGAATACATAATAAACATTTAAAAAATTCTTCAGGAGTGACATCAGCAAGATAGCAGAATAGGAAGCCCCAGTCCTTGTTTCCCCACAGAGAAATTGACTTAATGATAGTATATGGCCCCAAGAGCCTTTATGAGAACTCCAGAAACCAATTAAGAAGTCAAGCTCAGGGCCGGCCCTGTGGCTTGGTGGTTAAGTGCGCGCGCTGCGATGCTGGTGGCCCGGGTTCGGATCCCGGGTGCGCATCGAGGCACCACTTCTCCGTTCATCCTGAGGCCCAGTCCCGCATACAGCAACTAGAAGGATGTGCAGCTACGACATACAACTATCCACTGGGGCTTTGGGGGGAAAAAATAAAATAAATAAAATCTTTAAAAAAAAAAAAAAAAAAGTCAAGCTCAAAGTCAAGAACAGCCATATTGAAACAGATAAGAAAGCCATTTTATATCAACCACAGTAGCCCTTCCCCAAAGCCAGTCCAGCTTGCGGTTTCTCCCCAGGGAGATAAAGAAAAGAATGGAATGTGTCCAATGTTCTGGCTTTGTGGTGGCTGCCTGTGGGACTGGTGTCTGTGTTGCCTAACTCTGACCACTGCTGGGGAGCCAGCATACTTTCAATGCCTGGGGACTATGGAGAGTTAAAGAGAGTTCCGCTGCTTTTTGCAGCACCAGAGAATTGACAGTGCTGCAGATGGAGGTTGGCTCAGGTCAGCATGATTAGGAGAAAGCACTCAACTCTCAGCTTCTCTCTTGGGTGGGAGGCGGGGGGAGAGAAGAGTGGAATGTGCATCCAATGTTTCAGCTTTTGAAGGGGCTACCCTAGGGATTGGTTTCTGTCTTCCTTGACTTGAAGCAGTAACAGAACCAGCATAGTTTGGATGCCTGGGGAGCTGCAGAAAGCAAAAGATCTTAGTGGCTTGTTGCAGCACTAGAGAACCTGCAATACCACAGACAAACACAGAGAGAGGAAGAGATTACAAACTCCTGAAAAAGAAACTGGCAAAGCTCCCTAATTGGGAAATTATGTGCACAAACCCAGAGAAGATGCATTCCCCCCAAAAAGTTTGAAGGACCTCCAGACTCTCTAGCCAGATTGATTAGTGAAAGTCTTCCACTACACAAATCCAGTCCATTAAGACTGGGAGAGGTGACTGTTTCTTCAAATGCATGAAACA